AAATAATGTATGGACAAAGAGTCCACATCTAGCCATAATTGTCCAAATACCTAGTATTCCAATTAGTATTTTTAAAGACAAGATGGGTATTATAAAAGTTTCATTTTAATCAAGTTATACTAAAATGTTAAATCAATAGAATTAACTATCTTTAACATGAATACTCTCATTTCAGTATCCATCAATACCTACCAGGTTCACAAATAAAAGATAAATGCATTCAACAATATATTAATACAGTTTTCAAACTCGGGAAGCATTAAATTTTCAAACATCACAGGCATGTTAGATTAATAGGAAATTACTACATTACTACTGTTATCAGTTATGGATTGAGATGGTGGTATCTTACAAGAACAACCTTAGGGAACTTCAACCCAAAAACTATTCTAGTAGGCCATGAGAGAAGGAAAAGAGAGAAAAAGAAAAAATAACAAAGGAGAAAAAAATCCTTGTCTCCAAGCAAATCTAACACTAGCCAACTATGTGAAATAAAACAGTGTTGACAAAAAGAAAATGAGAATTCTCACCTTCTCTGCTTGGCACAAGCAAAAGGAAGGTATCACCTACCTTGGACACCCCAGAGGAAAGCACTTGAAGAACAGAAAACTATGCCTGCCAGAGGAGCCACACAGAAGAGCTCAGGGGTTTCTAAAGAATGGTTCAGGCATACAAGAGACTATTTTTTGCTGTGGATAAAAATGAACCTTGCATTTGTAAATGTGTATATGAGTGCCTGTGGTGTGTGTGTGCTTGCTTGCAATTTGCTGTTTATGTCTGGTGATAATAACTTGCTTCTTCTGGTAGTCTCCTGTTGAATGGGACAGGTGTGACAGAATTTTTGTGTGTCCTACAGTTGGCCTTGAATTTACTATCTACTACAGCTGGCCTTTAGACCTACCCAGCCTTTCAAGTGCTAGGAACAGACATGTATCACCATCTTTTGATTTTGTTAAATTTACACACACACACACACACACACACACACACACACACACACACACACACAAAGCAGTTCTATTTAAGAAATAGTAAAACCCTATGAATTCAATATAGTAAGAGCAAAGATGTCCCTTATCTTTGGTGAAATGTTTAAAGGTTTTTGTTTGTTTGTTAGTTAGTTAGTTTGTTTGTTTGGTTGGTTGGTTGATTCAATACCTATCCTGAGAAAGACTAATCACCTTTGATACCATACAGGGCTTGAGGGATAGAAAGGAAAGATGATTAAGTGCAGTAAAACCAATTTGTCATCTCTTAACTCAAATCCCAACATTCAGCCAAGCATTCCTTTAATCCCTATGCCGGAGGCTGAATGATGCTTTGGTAGACATACTGCTAGCCAAGATGGAAAAACAAAGTTGGTGAATATGATTAGATTCTAAAGTATATGTCAAGTCAGACGGTATCAGTTTGAAGGCAACCAGAACCACTAATGCATTCAATTCAGCTTAGTATAACCCATTTTATTTGGTTGGGGCTTATGTATAAAAATTTTTTTTGAGACAGAATCTGATAAGAAAGCCTGTGATAGCCTGGAACTCACTGTGTAGCCCAGATTAGCCTCAAAAAATATAATTTTCCCACATCACTTCCTTGAGGTGGGATTACACCTGGCTCTACATATTTTAAGGATGGAAAAATACCTAAAGGCTATCTAAAATTGAACAAATATTTTAACATGAATGCTATAGACAGAAACAAAACATGGGGAAGCAATAGACCAAGTATCACTAAATTAACCTATCCACAAATCAGATCTCCCACATCCTACTCCAAAGTGCAGTTCAGAACTTTCCCATCCACCACAACCTATAGGTCTCTTCTATGCCACATCAAGCCACTCTGACATACTTCCCCAGGATCTGGCCTGGTGAGTCTCCCTGATACTCCCCACCCATATGCCCTCCATTATGGTGATATGTTATTTATGATTTAATAAAACTTGCCTGGGGATTCAGAATACAAAGCTAGCCACAAGCCATAGAGGTCAGGCAGTAGTGATACACACCTTTAATCCCAGCAGTTATAATAGCTAAACACATAGCTAAGCAGTGGTGGCACACACCATTAATCAAGACAGGCAAATGGATCTCTGTCAGTTCAAAGCCACAGTGAGCTAGCTACACAAAACTGATCCAATCTTAAAGAGAAATAGCTCACACAAAGGTGATCTCAGCACTTAGGATCACATGCCTTTAAACCCAGCACTAGGGAGATATAAAATAAAAAAATCAGAGGTTCTAATGTGGATATATAGTTTCCAGGCAGGGAAAGCACTTGTCTCTGATCTGAGGATCTGTGGAATGAGCATAGCACTCTGAGGATTCGTGGAGTCAGGAATCACCCCTTCAATCTGAGGTAGAGTATGAGCTAGAGGCTCTTTTTTCATGTTACACTCCTTAACTTCCCAGATCTACCCAAGGTGCCACTTCCAGGGTCGGCCCTATCCGGATCTTAAGATATATTGCAGTGCACTAGTGATAATCAACAACATAGTCTGGCAACAAAAGAAATACGGAGACCAATGGAACAAAACCTAAAACCCAAACATGAGTATACATAACTTCAGCCACTTCATATTTGACAACAATGCAAAAAAACACAGGAAAAAAAAAAAAAAAAAAAAAAAAAAAGACATCTTCCACAAATGGTGCTAGGAAAACTGGATATCCACATGCCAAACAATAAAGTAGACCCACATCAATCACCTTGTACAAAAACTAACTCCAAATGAATCGAAGACATAAACGTGAAACTTGAAACAGTGAAACTACTAGAAGAACACATAAACGGTACCCTAGACGTTACAGATGTAGAAGCACTGTCTTGACAGGACTTCATTTGTACAATAATTAAAGGCAACAATTGACAAATGAGACTTCCTAAAGCTAAAAAGCTTCTGTACAGCAAAAGAAACAACCAATTGGGTAAAGAGGGAGCTTACAGAATGGGAGAGAATATTTGCCAGCTGGACCTCTCTCAGAGGATTAATCTCATGAATACATGAAGAATTCACAACATGATTTTTAAAAATGATCCATTCAAAAATTGGGTCTGGGTCCTGAACAGAGTGTTCTAAAAAGAAAGGAAAGAAAGCTAAGAAATATTTCAAAAACTGCTCACCATCTCTAGCAATTATGGGAATACAAATCAAAACAACTTTGAGAGTTCATCTTACCCAAGTCAGAGTAGCAAATACCAACAAAACAATTGGCAACTATGTTGGAGGGGATACTTGGAAAAGGGAACGCTCATTCACTACTTTCTTATTCACTGTTGATGGGACTGCATGCTGGTGTAGTCACTATGGAAATCAGTGGAGAATTCTCAAAAAGCTAAAAATAAAACTACCATATGACCCACCTCTACCACTCCTTGGCATACACCCAATGGATTCAACAGCCTACTCTAGAGATATTTGGTTACCCATGTTCATTGATCCTCTAATGACAATGATTAGGAAATGGAAACAACTCAAATATCCTTTATCTCACAAATGGATAGTGAAAATGGCACATATTCACTATGGAATACTGTGTAGATATAAAGAAAACAACATGAACTTTGCAGATAAAGGGATGGAACTAGAAAAGATCATATCAAGTGAGGTAAAATTAATGAATTAAAAAAGACAAACCCTCCTTTTGAGGGTTGGTACATACAAGAAGAGGGAGACTAGGCTCTACTCATTTATTTCCGTAACAAACTCACTGAATTATTTGGCTCTTCTCACTACATTCTTTATAAACTGCAGCAAGCACTGGACAATACACAAGCTTAATAAAAGAAAAAACTCTCTGAAAGCAAACAAAAAAAAAAAAAAAAAAAAAAAAAGGAAAGGAAAGAAGACTGGAAGAAAGCAAGGACAAGGGGGGCAGAGGGTCAGATACATATTACAGACCTGCCATCATCTCAAGAGGGCACCTTCTGGAACTAGGAGCCTCTAGCACATTCTGTATTCATGTATTTTGTATTCCATGGGTAGGATCAAAACTCAACCGGAGAGCTTACCTGCTCATCAAGTCCATATTACCAACAAATTGGTGTTAACTTTTTAAAGTTAGAAATGCAGAACATTGTCTCAACTGGTCTCATTCTATGGAGCAAGCTAGGTTCTCTGAATAGTGTTAAAGAGTGAAGTTGGTAATGGTGTCAGTAACCCCAATGATGTATTGTGCACTATTTGCAGAAGTTCCTTTTTAGTAGTAGTGAAACAAAGGAGGAGAGGGGGGAGGGAGGAATAAATTCCAAAGAAAGATAAGCATAACTTATATATTGATATATGCAATTTCTTGTCACTATTTGGTAAAAATGACATGCCAAGGTGCTCACAATCTACATGCAGAACTGTTAGTTGGCACGAACAGCATTACTCTGTCAGTATCTTTCCAAAACAAACCAAATTCCTGAAGCATGAATAAGACCTATACTAAGTATCTGGTGATTAATTCTTTTGCAATTCTTTAAATGGGATGAGTCAGATCCCCAGACCTTTAAGATAATTTTATTTTCATTAAATAGCATTTAACAGCCAACTAGTGCCACGGCAATTTCTAAAGCACTACAAAGACAAAAATCCTTCCCTATAAAGTATATTATGCTTTCCATTACTAAGTACAACTCTCAACCTATGTAAAATATGTAAAAAAAAATGACATTACAATATGAAAGAGTTTGGATGTTCTAGTAAGCAGTGGAAAGAAAGGAGGAGAAAACAAGGTGCACAAGTCAACAAAGTCACCTCCCTTTAAGAGCTAGGAGAAGCTCTGAGAAGAGGAACATGATCTGCATGTGTGTCTCATTAGCTTGACAGCCCAGCAAGGAAAGGACCCCACACACCTGGAAAAATGCAAGAAAACATTTGCTGAGCTAACCAAGAATGGAACTATGCCTATCTCCATCCTCCAGGAAGCAAGAAAGTAAATTGCCAATCGTCTCTGAAGTAAGCTCTATTAGACAATATAATGAACAAGCCCTCTCTGGAAGCAACAGGTCCTTACCTGCTGCTGGACTGGCACTTGCTGTACCACCTGTGTAGGCACTGCTGCTTGGCTAGCCACAGATGTCTGCAGAGTCACTGTCGAACCTGTGTCTGAACCCGTCTCTGAAGTCTGCATGATGGTCTCTGGAATATATGAAAACAGTTTACAGTGTTGGCCTTGCATCATAAGCTTCGTTGCAATTGTTCATAATATGAAAAATGGAGGCATCCAAACATATAATGCCACTATCTCCAACACACTGTCAAAACTCATGCGTGTTTTTAGCCATTTTGATCAGTTTCAACTAAATAAAAAATAATGACTATTAATAAAATTAATAATATTTACTTTTGTAAAAATCCTTATTAGTACCTCTGGACCTGAGAGTAAAGAGGCAGCACTTAATGGAGAGCTCTTGTCCTTTGGTCCCAAACGTTACAAAGTATCTCAATCCTTTAGTGAAGTACGATCTAAAATATTCACTACCCTCAAATCTCAGAACACAATCTGAAATGGATGATCATATAATACACCTTACTTTCTAGTCACTTCTCCAGGCTCTTAAGATGACATAAAAGAAGCAGAATACAGACTAAATCTTTTTTTTTTTTTTGTAATCCCTTATAGAAACTAATTCTCTTTTCCTTAGAATTAATTATTTCTAAATTAAAACATTATTTAAACAATATACATACATACATACATACATACATACATACACACACATATAAATTCAGCAATAGGGTCGCACTTTCTAATTTTCTTAGGCTTCCACAGTTTGATATCTTCTTGTGCTACTTACAAATTCAATAAAAAATAAATATGACTTTTCTGGTATGTGGATAAAGGTAGGAGACACTATTTAATTGGTAGCCTATGAAAAGTAATAAATTGTAGTTTAAACTAGTGAAGAACATAGTGAACATTTATGTTCCTTAAGAAAATTAAATTTTCAGGTATTCAGTTTTTTGGAGGAGAAAATTAATTGTACTCAGTATCTTTGTCACAGTGTAACCAATCTAATTCTTTTTCTACAGCCATCATCTCATTCAGGTTTAGAAATGGACCTTGAAAAACAACAAATCTGTTTTTATTTTATAAATGCAAACTCTGTTGCCCAGAGAGGTTAAGAAACCTATTCGATGTGAGAAGTGTAAATCTGGGGTGTGCTTTTCATTTTGACCGGAGTGATTTTCTCTAGTTTTACAGTGGCATTCCTGTAGGTAATCTGTGCTTTTTCGTATTGCTTTCTTGGTCAAAGTCCTAAAGCTACACAAATCTCATTAGATACAAAAGTAACAGCTGCCATGGTTGTTCAAGAGATGTAAAGGACTCTTCTGTTTTTCATAAATACATTTGTTCATGAATAGGTTAATCCATGGACCAATCTGACTTTCACTTTCCATGAGGCATATCAGTCATACTGAAGAAGGAAGAGGAGGGTGAAAGGTAAAGACTGCTGCTAAAGCATCATTTACATACATAGATAGGTTAACATCTGCTCTAGGACTTTCTGGATGTGTGGAAAACTGTTGTGGTTGTCAAAAGAAGCTGGAAAAAAAATCCAGATTCTTTTTGAAATATTACAAATTGTGGCTCTTTTAAATATAACAGTTGTGTTAAATACATGTGCATTTGGACTAGCAGCATAACCATGGAGATGTCTAAGACTAAATGAGAATGACATCATTCACTATACAAAACTCTTGTTTGATTAGGATGATGGAAGGTTCCAATGCGCCACATTTTGGGAGCCAAAGCTGGGTTATAGCTCAGTGAAAGAATGTTTAATTATCCCTGGGTTACATCCAGCACTGGCCATCCCCTTCAAAATTATTTTTTCTTAAGAGAGAAGAATACCTAAATTAGGGACCCCATCTCTTCCTTTTATTTATTTTCTTTCATGACAAATAGGGAGAAAAACAGCAATCCAAAAATGAAAGCAAAAACCTTTCAGGTCCTTTGATTTATTAAGTATATACAGAGTATTGATTACATTTTGTGTTCTAACAAAGGAGCTAAATGTGTATGTAAGGCTTGCTTCTGTGGAAGGAACAAGGGATGGACCAGATACTGGAGAGCATCTGCTGGGAGGGTTTTCAGTCTCACAAGCTCCAGGGTGACCTGTAGACCTTTGGAGAACAGATACAGAAGTCACCTGCAGCCACGTAGTGCTTCTCCTTTTCTCTGCCCCATCAATAGAGTGTTCCCATGAGGAAGTCTCTTGCACTAATTCTCCCTCCTGTTTACCACAGAGTGGACCTGAAGCTTAGCCAAGACTCACTGGTGCCATATTTAGCATTAACAATTAAATCTATGATGTACTCCATTTTAGAGGTGAGTAGTTTGAGGCTTGGAGATGTCAAATCCCTCATCACTTACACACGACTACACACGACCACACACGTAGAAAACAGAAAAAGAAGGGTTTGATGTCAAAATAGAGTTCATGCTCTCAACATCACAGGATACATTGAAAGCTCTAGGTTTAGTAATATGCAGTGCACAGGCAAATATAATGAGAATAACATGCAGTAGCAAAAATTTAGAGAAGGGAAACAATAAAGGAAGCAAAATATGTCAATTATTTAACAAGAGTAATCTAAACAAGCATGGAGAAATGACTGGTTTTAAATTTAAAGCCAGGGAGTAGGAGAGAACTTTGTATTCAGCCTCCAGCTCTATCTACACTACATCAAAAGTGGCATGAAGACCCCTACCTAGTGCACTGAATATCATTCAAACTCCAGATTCATGTGTATGAGTGCTTTACACTATGTCTATATTGCACCAAATGTATGCCTGGTTCTCAAGGATGTCCGAAGAGGTTTGTGGGCCACCATAAAGGTGCTGGGAACATCCTTTACCAGAACAGCCACTGCTCTTACTCTGGGCATTCTCTGTGGACCATCTGACAGATACAACTTCATTCTTCTCTAATTTCTCTTCCTCCACTAGCTCTGAAGAAGAGACTCTCACTGGCAACATCATGACTTCCATAAACTGGCTTGAAGGGCTATACTACAATTTGATCTATCATTTACTAAGTCTTTCCTGATGCTAGAAACCAGTCAAACTGCACTGAATAAATTGCTAGTTTAATTCTCAAAGGAAGCCCATGTAGCAGATGTTATCTTTACTTAACGAGTGTGGAAACTAAGACATGGATGGATTTTAAAAATTGTTAAAAGCCTGCAGCCAGAAAGAAGAAGAAACTGAATTGATTCTACAGCTGTCTGGCTTGAAAATCCGCATTTAAAACCACTGGGTGTGCTGTGATGCAGACTCTGACAGTATAATTGCCAAACAAAAAGCTGGACACTGAAATCAGAGCAATAAATTGGGGTTTGAATGCATGTTTTCTTAATGTACATTTCCAGCAATCATGGACATCGATCCATTCCACCGTCCTTAAAGATACAAAAGTATTTTCTCTACTGAAGCAATAATAATTCCCAATTAATAAGTATTTATCCAGAACCACTTTACATTCACTAACTCTGAAGATCTAATCTTAATCCAGAACAATGACAATATAAAGCATATTGAAAGAGTATAACCTCTGACCCAAGTTTGTTAAATAGATTATTTTAACCTACTGACATACTAAAACTATTCCAGAGGAATCCCCAACATTTGTGCAAAGTGAAGTTCATCCCAGGAATGTCCAGAGCCTGCTACCTTAGTGAGCTGAACAACTGGGTACTTAAATGTATTCTCATTCACCAGCAGAAGTTTCTGTGGCTTTGTTTACGTCTGGGGGTAATTTGGTTAGTTTTGTCCCTTTGGTGCCTGTTAAGTGATATTTGTTTATCAATCACAAGTATAGTGACATTAATCTATTTTGATAAGCTAAATAACCCCCTGCAGTTTGCTTCTGATGTGGCCCACATGTAAATGAGTTGTATGTTCTTACAGGAGAGACGTGCACAATTTCCGTCTAGTCATCCTTGCTTAATGTGGCTGTCAGGTGTGTCATGAGCAACAGATGCTTGTTTGACAAAGGACCTTTTTATTCTGGCTAATTAAGCAGTTGGACACACCCGCCTGCTAAGGGTTCTGCTTTGTACAGCCAGCTCTGGATGAGTCATGAGAATCTAAGGCTAAATAGGCCACATTTTTGAAAGAAGGCTAATTAGTCTCTAGGAGGAGGAGAAGAATATTGCAAAACCCAGCTGCTGAATGCAACAAATTAGCATTTCTTCAACCTGATGGGCAAACCTAGGCAAATCAAGTGTGTTTGGAACAAACATGCCTTATTGCAAGTTTCAAAGCATCCAAGTCCTTTGGGGGACTTCCTGAAAATTATTTAACACACTCAAATTCACAGTTGGATTCTTTTCATCACATACAATATACATACCAGATTAATTGGTTTAAAAATCTGACCTAGTCAATCACTTATCAAACAGAACTTTATAAGCATATAACTGGCTGGATCCACCTGATGCTTCCTGGGATCTTCCACCCTGAAATACTTTCTCTCCCACAAAGCAAAGCCTGAGATGTCTCATCCTCATTCCATTAAACTGACTTGTAGTTTTCTGAGTGAAGAATGTGATAAAGATCAACAGTTTTTCAAATTGCTTCTTCCTTGTATCTTATCATAGAAAGATCAATATGCTAATTCCACTTCCTGCCTGAACAGAATTAACCAAAATTATCATGATAGTTACTTTATGGCAAAAATAAATTATATATAAATATGTCTATACTCAATATAAGAATTTTAGAAGCTTGATTCAATATAAGATCAAAGCAAAATTATTTCATAATTTTAACTTACTATTTTTAAACTAGTGAACAAGTAGTTTGACATTAGCATTTTCTTACATGAAAAAAGTACTAAAACCATCATAAAGGTTCTGAAACATAAAACTTTTATTACTAATACTCAAATTCAGTTAAACCTCCATTATCTAAAATTATGGCTATAATGGGTTTGGAGATATGCTCAGTGGATAAGAATAGTTTGTTCTCTTTCAGAGGTCCATATTTTGGGTCTTAGTACCCACATTGATCAGTTCACAACTCCCTTTAACTCCAGCTCGAAGGGATCTGCCAACACGTCTTTCTGCCCTACACACACACACACACACACACACACACACACACACACACACACACACACTCGGTGGGGGGT